TGGCCGAGAGAATAGCACTGAGGGAACTGGAGCCGCCTCGCCCCGCGGGGGACGCAGAGCAGACACACCGGGAGGGAGACAGTGGGATCAGATGCTCTAGAGCACCATGGACGCCCTGGTGGCGGGTACAGTGACGGGTCTGTACCCCGTGGTACAGACAAGGGCCAAACAAGACCATTTAGGAAAAAGTCTGTGAAGGACGCCAAACATAAAGAGCAGGGGTCGAGGGAAGCCAGGCAGGGGAGTGTTCCGGGAGCTGAGGCAGAAAGGGTAACCTGGACAACACAGTAGCCAGGGTAACCCAGGACTTGGGAAGATGAGTAAATACAGATTAAAATGTGGTTTGGGGGACCAGCAGTTGGTATAGTGGCTATGTCGCTGGACTCCCATGTAGTCGACTGGAGTTCGAGTCCCAGACCTGGTGGCTTAAACTCACCCCCGGCGGGGGGTGGGGTGGTGGTGGTCCGTACCCAAGATCACCAGAGGAGAATGGAGGAGAAGGGATTGCTGCGTGGCCATCCCCCCTGAGGGGTGATTTCTTACTTTCTGTCTCTCTGTCCCTCTGTCTCTTTATGGTGAGCAAACACGCCCTATAGCAAAAACCTCTCCACTCCCTCACAAAAAAATGTGGTCTGCGAACCAGAGAAATGCTGAGAAAAGCAGGTGACTGTGGGTGAGAAAAGGAACTGAACCCAGGCCAGTAGGTGGTGCAAAACTTAAGGTAGCTGGGTTCCACACAGCAGAAGGCATGGTTCAAATCCCTGAACCACAGCTTGAAAATCACACCTGGCACATGCGTGCCCAAAATCCCAAGAGGAGAATGGAGCAGAAGGGATTGTGGCGTGGCCATCCCCCATGAGGGAATATTTCTGTGTGTGTGTGTGTGTGTGTGTCTGGCAACAGTGCACTTACTATAGCCAACTAAAAAACAAAAACAAAACAAAACAAACAAAAAAACCCGAACTGGACCCCTGAGCTGAGCTGTGAGGGGTGGATGGAGGTGAGTGTGGAGCACAAGCTCCTGGGGCTGAGATGGCATGTTGTCTGTCTTGCATTCCTCATTGCTAGTACAGAGTTTTTACACTGAACTCTCCTATTCTCCCAAAAAGTCTAAGTGAAAAGAGAAGAGAGGCGAGGTGTGTGCAGAGTCTTGAGGACTTTGCAGGGATGGGAGAGAAGAGCCCTGGCTTCTTCCTATCGACTTGTAGAGAGGGGAGTGGGTGCATCAACCTGAGGAGGCCAGAGGGGATCCCGCGAAGGATGGAGGGACAAGTTTTCAATAAAAGCGAAGAACGTGATCACAGAGAAGGAAAGGATGAAGGGAATGGGAAGGGAGAGGCTGTGAAAGGTCACACCTTTGATCCTTCTTTGACTGGGGAAAGTGGAAGGCAAGATCATCTGCTAAGAACAAGATGGTAGAGGGACCAACAGTTAGCGTAATGGCTATATCACTGGACTCCCATGTAGCCGACTGCGGTTCGAGTCCCAGACCCAGTGGCTTAAACTCACACAGGGCGCGTGTGCGTGCATGCCCAAGATCCCGAGAGGAGAATGGAGGAGAAGGGATTGCAGCGTGGTCATCTCCCCTGGGGGGTGATTTCTCACTTTCTGTCTCTCAGTCTCTCTCTTTCTGGTAAGCGCATGTGCCCTACAGCAAAAAAACCTCTCCAAAAGAAGAAGAAGGAAAAAAGAACCAGATGGTAGAGAAATCAGGGAGGAATTGGGGATGTGGCATGGGTTTAAAAAAGGTGCTGCAGTAATTAGAAATATTCAAAGGAAAGCAATACAATTCACAGAAATTGGGTTGTCAGAAAAGTCATGACACATTTTATACCTTATAATCACATCATGACTTTTCTTATGACTCAATAGTTAGTAGGGCTTTGTAAAGACACAGATATTCTACGTGGCATTCTTTTCTCCTTAATTTTTTTCTTAATTTTTATATTCTTCTGCATAAAGGTGACAGACAGAGAGCAGAGATAGTCTCCTCCAACAGGGTCTGCATACCATGATAGCCCTGTAGTCTCAGCCAGCCCTGGTCAAGGGTAAGCACATATACCCCCAGTATGTTCATGGAAGCCCTGGGATGCAAACCCAGACCCATATCCATGTGAGCCTGATTGCATTACCACTGAGCCACTTCCTGACCCCATAGCATTATTTTCATTATTAACAGCTGCCAGATTCTGAAGAACCCCTGGATACCAGCCTGAGGTATTGAGGTTTATCTCTAGGCCAGCAGGTTCCAATCTAACTCCATTCACAAGACTCGTGGAGGGGACCAGCGGTTACCTTAATGGCTATGTCGCTGGACTCCCACGTAGTCGACCGCGGTTCGCGTCCCAGACCCGGTGGCTTAAAACTCACGCCGGGCGCGTGTGAGTGCGTGCCCAAGATCCCGAGAGGAGAATGGAGGAGAAGGGATTGCGGCGTGACCATCCCCCCTGGGGGGTGATTTCTCGCTTTCTGTCTCTATGTCTGTCTGTCTGTCTGGCAAGCACACACGCTCTATAGCGAAAACCTCTCAAAAAAAAAAAAAAAGACTCTCATGAAGATCTTTTTTAAAACACAAATTTCCTCAGAATCACTGCCGAAGGATTCAGATTCTTTGGGTGGTGAGGTGTAGATCCCTATGTAGCCAGGTAAGTACTGCCAGGGACTGAAGATTGTTTTTCAATGGAAATGACCAGATTGGGGCTGTGTTTTCAAAAGAGTGTGAAGTGGGCTAGGGAGAGAAGGGACAGTAGTTAGGAAGATTGGGTACGAAACTGTTATTGTCTAGGAAAATAGGAATGACAGTATGAATTAAAATAGAGAAGGACACACAGAGGAAGCCCTGGAGAGGAGCACGTGTGTAAGGAAAGGAGTCATAGTGATTTTAACGTGGATGCCCAACTACATCTAGAGTTAGATAAATGTTCTGTGGATTAGACGAGGCAGCTAGAATAAGCAAGAACTTTGCCTTCGTGTAATGTACGTCTGAGCTGGGTCAGAAATGAGACCTTTCAGTATCTAGCCTTAGCTCCAGTGCCCCCATAAGTCTGTTGTGTATGCCAGACCACCAGCCTCTAGTCGAAGAATATTGAGCAAAGTGCTTATCATGAAATGTTCTGGGACCTTAAAATACTGGGTCATCAGAAAAGTCATGACATATTTTTGCATAGAAAAAAATGTGTCATGGCTTTTCCAAAGAAGTAATAGACGCCCAAGTATACCCCAGATTTTCATGGTGCCCAGGAGCCCTGTGGGAAATAATGCAATCCACAAATGGAATTCAGACGTGGGCTGAACAGTCTGGTGGACTTTGAGTTTATAAAGGTGGTTGAAGCAGAATGAAATACACCAGATGCCTGTAGAACAAAATCACCTTGAATGAAAAAAACCAACAATTTGGATAAGTCTGGACACTAGTCAGAAATATCATAGGGAGGGCAGGCCCTGTAGCACAGTCTGCATTTGATGGCTGGATCTCACATGGTTGATCACGGTTCTAATCCTGAAAGATATGCTAGGTATGTACAGGTGTGTGTCCAGATTCCTGATGGGATGGAAAAATGGGGGAAAAAAGATTGAAGTGTGACCATACCCGTTTTGAAATGATGCTCTATCTGTGTGTGTGTGTCTCCGAAGAATGCACATGTCTTTTGGTAATAAAATTAATTAATTAAATTTAAGATGTTATAGCCAGTGAAGCATGTGAATATAGTACAAGCGATACTTTTACCTCACCCACTCTTACATCAGGGTACTTGTGTTTCCTAGGAATAAGAAAAGAAAGAACTAAAGTACTAAGGACCTAGACACTCTGAGATCCCTCAGAATGTGCTATTCTCTCGGGGGCAGTTGGGTCTTTCTGCCCTCTGAAGAGAAGGGCACTGGTATGTGAAAGAAGAAGTCCCGGGCAGTAGCAGAGAAATTGACCTGTGAGTAGCAGGAGGGCACGACACATAGAGAAATGCAGAGGTCCAGGTAACATCTGACTATTTGTAAGATCTCTCTAAGGATCTGAAAGTTGTTTGCACAGGAGGAACTTGGGAAAAGACAAGATTTCTTTTCTTTCTCTCTTTCAATGCCAGGGAGCATATGCACTCTCCAAACAGAGAGGGAGGAAGCACCTCCCAATGAGCTATGGCCACACCACAATCCCTTCTTCTTTCTCCACCCTGTTGGGACGTTAGGCATGGATGCACATGTGCCCAGTGTGTGTCTCAAGTGACTAGGCTGGGATTCAAACCACAGTCAGCCAGGGGATCTGGCTCCCTTAGCCACCAGACTACAAGTCCAGCCCCCCAAAATGAGTGGTATTTCTACTAATCAAGCCTATGGGGGCTCAATATATTGGGTTTGGGGTATTACAGTAACTAGGATGATTTGGGAGGCTTTTTGTTTTTGTTTTAGGGAAGACCAAAAATAAAAAATACAGATAATTTGAAGTATAAGTCATGTCAAACTTGCTTCATTTCATTTATATTTTGTATGAGATGAAGTTAATATATTCATAGACCAAGAGAATGCTGCTGTCTTTATATCTTAATTTCAAGAAATTATTTCAGTATATTTTAATCCTTAGTTTCACAGCTGATTAAATAATTTTTGTCCAAAGGTTTTTAAATGGGTTTTGTGAAATTACTTACAGTTAAAATTTCTCCTGTTTTATGAAGTGCTGCTGCCTTTGTCTCTTCTATTCTTCTCAATAATTCAAGATCATGCATATTCTATTTGAAGGTCTAGTTCTATTTTTTCCAGCCTGTGCACTAGCCTAATTACATCACTTGTATGTTTTTTAAGAATCATTTATTTACATTTTATTATTATTTTTTTTAATTTGACCAGAGAGAAACAGAAACAGAAAGGGAAGGAAAATGAGAAAGCAAGCTGTCAGGTCCAGGACTCAAACTGCAGTCAGCCATGTGGGAGCCCAGTACCTTAACCATCATGCCACCTGCCGGCCCCTCATTTGTATTTTAAACATATAGAAATCAATTCTATAATGAATAAATCTAAGAAATAATCATCTCAAATGCCATTTTTCCCCCTACCCCCTGCTCCTAGTTCAGCCAAAAGTGAACGTCTCCCCCTCCAAGAAGGGGCCCCTGCAGCACCACAACACACTCATCTGCCACGTGACAGATTTCTACCCGGGTGACATTCAAGTCCGGTGGTTCCTGAATGGAAAGGAAGAAACAGATGGGGTCGTGTCCACCAACCTGATCCGTAATGGAGACTGGACCTACCAGATCCTGGTGATGCTGGAAATGATCCCCCAGCAGGGAGACGTCTACACCTGCCACGTGGAGCACCCCAGCCTGGACAGGCCTGTCACCGTGGAGTGGAGTGAGTTACCCCCTGACGGCCCAGCTAGACCCCGCTTTCTGAAGAACAGGGGACTCTCTGGCTCTGAGGTCCACTCATCTTTTCTATATGTCTGTATGCTGGGACACATCGACCCCCATCTCTTTCTTGTACAAAACCCTGAGTGTCACCTGAGCTGGGGTTGATGGACACTCGCCTGTCCCTAGCCTGGGAGGTCCTGAGGTTTGTATTTCCCTTCTCTTGTCAGAGAACCCGGGCAGTCAGACACCCTCCTGAATTCCCTCACACATGGGAAGTCCTCTGTATTTTTAGACTTTTCGTCTGTTTAGAGTTATTCCAAGAGACAGCTGCCAGAATCAGTGTTTGTCCCCTTGCCAAGGAGACCCTAATCTCCAGAATTGGGTCTTTCTAAACATCCTTTTATCCACGGTGAAGGTGCGACCCCTCCCTCTCCTCATGCCAGTAATCTATATTGAGTCCAGGATCTCAGTCAGGACCTCAGGGGTACCACTGGTGGGGTGAGGCTGACTGGGGTCTGTTCTTCCCAGAGGCACAGTTTGATTCTGCTCGGAGCAAGACACTGACTGGAGTCGGGGGCTTCATGCTGGGGCTCATCATGTTTGGGGTGGGCATCTTCATGCACGTGAGGAGCAGGAAAGGTAAGAAAGCCTGCAAGGTGCCCAGATCCGCCTTTCCCCGACTGACTCACCCGTCTTCCATGATCAGCTACTGAAACAGAAAAGCAATGCCAAAGAGGGCCAGCTCTGTGGCCTGCTGGTTAAGGGAGACAGATTCCCACATGACAAACCACAGTTTGAATCCTAGCCCTAGTGGCTTGAAAAACACTCAGGTGCATGTGCATGCATGCCCACACCAACAGGATGGAGAAATGGAGAAGGGATTGCAATGTGACTGTGTCCCATTGAGAAGTGCTCTCTCCCTTTTTCTCTCTCCTTTTCTGTCTGTCTTGCAAGCTCACATGGCCTCTGGCAATTTTTACTTTTTAATTTAAAAAAAAAGAGAGAGAAAAGAAAAGCAATGTGAAAGAACTCTGGAGGCTACTGACCTCAGATTGCGGGGGAGCAAAGATGGCCTGTAGGGAGATTCTGGGACCTTAACACAGCCTGGGGATCCTGGGACCTTAACACGGCCGGATGCATGAGCTCTCCAGGTGCTCAGATGCATGTGGGGGCTCCATTTGGTGATGGAGAATAGAAGATGGGATGGGAAAGGTTCTCTATTGGGCCAGCAGGTGGCATGGCATGGTGGTTAAGGCTTTGAACTCCCACATGGACAAATGTGGTTTGAGTCCCAGACCTGATGGCTTGAAAATTATGACAGCTTGTGAACATGCATGTCCAAAATCCCAAGAGGAGAATGGGAGAGACGGGACTTCAGTGTGGCCATCCTCTTGGGGTCGGGGGGGGGTGATTTCTCATTTTCCCTCTCACGTCTCTCTCTCTAGCAAGTGCACACACCCTATGACAAAAACCTTAAAAGGAAATAAAAAATTGTCTTAAATAAAAAGTTGGTTTTTGTGGCTGAATAAATTCCCTATCCTCCTTTCATTTCAGCTCAACGAGGATCTCGATAAACAGGTACCATTCTTGCATTGTTTTTCTTGAGAGGATGGGTAGCAGAAGGATGTAAGTGTTTTCTTTTTATTATGACTCTAGCACCAATTGCGAAGAGTCTCAGGCCTGCACTTCTCTCCAACCTCAGCCCTTGTGTGAGTGGGAGAAGGGATGGCCTTTCATTCTTTTGATGAAGAAAGTTTTTTTTATCAAGCTAAGACATAGTCTCTCACCATCATTTCAGTACCTACAATAACTTTCCTTTTACCTTCACAGTTTCTGATCTAACTGGAAAGCCTGCGTGTGCCTTGGAACAAATATTTTCCATGTTTCCTCAGTCCCAGGGGCTGGTTCAGGTTGGACTCAGCTTCCCAAGAAGACGTTGCTGCCATGTAATTGCTCTGAAACCAGATTCTATAAGCCTGTGTTTTGATTCAATGTATTGTTTCTCCAATGAGGCCCCAACCATGTTCCCTTTTCCTTGCTCCATAAACAATAAAAATCCAACCTTATTGTTTGTTTTCTTTTGAGAATGTACCAAGTAATCACTGCTATTGCTTCTGTTGAGGGTTGTGATAAACAATAAGTTAATAAATATATTATTTACACAGAGGCAAGAAGAAAAACATAAAATGGGGACATCCCAGCTATGGCATAAGGTGGAAGATTGGATGTGGCTCTTCTGAATTTACTGTACTTCCTTAGGCTGCCCCATAGTCATTTTTGGTGTCTTCATCCACTTAGGCTTGGGGCCATTATTCTTAGTTATTCACAAAGCACTATTCGACATATAACTTAAGAGCATAGTTTTACCATTAGCACTAAGAAATTAAATGAGTAAGTGAAGAATTAATATTATAAATATACTCTAATAAACTTTAAAGATTTTCTTTAAATACCATCATAAATACAGTATTCCTTAACCAAAGTCAGCTTAGCCTCTTGAATTCATCAAGTAGGAGATATAGACTTATCCTCTGTCACTGTATTCATCAGCCAACTTAAACTCTGTTCTTAATAATTCATACAGTGGGAAATGTATCCCATTATAAAAAGACCAAAGTGGCTCAACAGGTGGTGTAATGGTTAAGATGGCTGGATGCCACATGGCCCACTCCACAGTTCAAGTCAGATACATGTGCTTGAGTACCCTAAATCCTGAGAGGAGATGAAGGAGAAGGAACTACAGTGTGAAAATTTCTCCAGGGGAGTCTCTCTCTCTCTCTCTCTCTCTCTCTGCACTGAGCACATGCACCCTATAGCAAAAATATTTTTAAAATAAAATAAAACAGGAAGAGGACCAGCAGATGGTTGTTAAGACACTGGATCCCACAGGGTCAACTCCATGGTCCAAGTCCCTGACGTGAAGGCTTGAGGAACTTGCAGGGCACATATTGCAAGGTCCAAGAGGAAAAGGGAGGAAAAGGGATTGCAAGCGTGGCCCTCCCCTTGGTGTGTGTATTGGGTAATTTCTCACTTTCCCTCTCTGTCTCTCTCTCTGTCTCTGGCAAGTACATACACCCAATAATAAAAACCTTTAAAAAAAAAAAAAAAGAGAGAGAGAGAAACAGCAATCAAGGAAGCACTCTTTTTTAAACACAAGTTTCTTTTCTTTTTTAAATGACAGAAACCAGGGATAGATATAGATAGACAAGTTTGTATAGGGTTTGGAGGGTTTATTTCTTTTTCCTTTCTGTTTTTGTTTTTCGACATGATCTTACTATGTTGTCATCCCCTGCTCCACTCCCCAGCTAGGCAGGATTATAAGCACACACCACTGCACCTGGCCTGTTTAGGTTCGTCCAGGAACAAAACCTGGGTCTCCCATGCAGCCTCAGGCTTTCATGGTAGTGCCTTACCACTTGCACCACCGCAGCTGGGCCAGGTGTTGTTTTGTGTGTGTGTGTGTGTGTGTTTTTAATCCAAAATGATTATAGGTTTAAAATTTCTTATTGCTAGCCTTATTTTTTTTTTCTTACAGAGGGTGCATGAACTCACAAGAGAGACAGAGGACACCCCCAGTGGGGCATGCTCTTCCCACAGTCCTTTTTTCCTCCACTTCTCCTTCCCATCAGGATTTTAGGCATGCACACAGGCATAGCTGGCATGTTTCTTAAGCCACCAGGGCCTGCCCCAATTTGAACCATAGTCAGCCATGTGGAATTCAGCTTCCACTGTGCACACGTATCTGATGTGTTTTTCAATCCATGGAGTCTGGGACTTGATCTCTGCAGCCAGCCATGTGTTATCCAGCAATCTTAACCATTACGCTACCTGCTGGCCCACTTTGGTCTTTCAATAAAGGGAACACATCTCCCACTGAATGAATTACGAAGACGGAGGAGCTGGTGGGACAGTAGGAGCTGAATTCCACATGGAGCTGGCCAATTTCTTTCTTTCTCTTTCTTTTCTTTCTTTCTCTTTCTCTTTCTTTCTTTTATTTATTTATTTTATTTTTGCCATAGTACACATGCACTTACCAGAGAGGGAGAGAGCACCCCCACAGGGGAGCATGATCACGATGTAATCTTTCTTCATTTCTCCATCCCATCAGGATTCTGGGCCTGCACACATATATGCAAATGGTGCTTCCAAAACCACTATGGCCATGACTCGAACCATGGTCAGCCATGTGGGATTCTGCTTTCTATGTACAGTATTTAACTGCTGCAATACAGGGCCAACTCCCACCCTTTTTCCCCATAAGTTTATTTATTTATCCCATGAGTGAGTAAGAGACACACAGGCATTTGTGACAGACTCCTCACACTGCCATCCACCCCAGCCTCAGCCAGCCCAGATGACTGTGGCAGGGTGAGAAAGATTCAGTCTGAACTTTCCCATCACAGCAGGGAATTGAAGGACAGGGAACAAGCTGATTGCACATACAGGGAGGCCTCAGGATGCAAACCCAAGACCTTCCCATGAGCATCCAGCCTTGGAGCATGCATTACGCTGTGCCACCAGCCGGCCCCGTATTAAATTGTCTTTAAGTCAGGTCAGAGCACACGTTTGGTGCCAGCTTTCCTTTCCATGTAGAGTATTGCCTCCTGGGGCACATAGTGGGTACCCAGGGGCTCTCTGTGCACCAGGATGGTGACTCCCCTTTCCTTGGCCTCTTACAAGCAGCTTCTTGGCCTCCTGTGCCCCTGAGCACCTGCCTTTGGTCATTTCTCACAATGCTCTGAGCTCCTCTCTCATAGGTCCCCTCCCAATCATGTCCTACATCTGGGGACCAACTTCCTCATCTCCAAGAAAGATCAGAACTAAAGGTGCAGACTGCACATCTCTGACACAGAAGTAAACATAGCTGGAATCTGCAGAAAGGACAGACTGATTAAGTGAAGGGGTCAAGAAAAGAAGCCACAGGGACCAGCAGATGGTGTAGCGGTTACATCCCTGGACACTCTCATATGGCTAACTATGGTTCACATCCCTGATCTGGTGACTCGAAAATTATGCCAGGTACACGTGTGCGTGTGCCTAAAATCCCAAAAGGAGAATGGAGGAGAAGGGATTGCGGCGTGGCCATCCCTCTTGTGGGGGTGATTTCTCACTTTCTGTCTCTCTGTCTCTCTGTTTCTCTGGAGAGCAAACGTGCCCTATGGCAAAAATCACTCTCAAAAAAAAAAAAATAGGGGGCCCCCCCGCGGCCCTGCGCAGCTGTGCCAGGAACGACCTGGCCCCCCTCCGGGGGCCCCCCGCAGCCGGGGGCTTACGCCCCTGCGCCGCCCACCCA